AGGAACGATATTTGTCTTCCTTCAATTTTTTATCATTACTTTTGTTACTAGTACAAGTGTCACCAAAAGTCAATAAACTGCCTCGTTTGTCTGCATTGCGGACCTATTTTTGTAGACGCTGAGCATCGGCTAGCTGGATCGGCTAGCTTTCATTCCGGCTTGCTTGCGGTCGTCTTACACTCATTACACGCATTACAAGTTCATTTTTTTGGTTAGGGCAATGCTATATATATTTACTTTACATATATATGGGCCGGATATGGGTTATTGACCGGGCGTGAGGTCAACATGGCTGAATATTGGCCAAGTTCTTTTTTTTGCGTGTTTCTGCACCGAGACGGAGTTGAGGTCCACAACCTGCAAAAAAGAAAGAAAAAAAGAACAAGGCCAATCTCCAGCCATCATGATAGAAACAACCTTGGAAAACAAAGGATTTAGTATATGAAAAAAGAATATTATTTACTTGTGGGACACAGCGGGTAATCCCAAGCGGGCAAGATAGCGCCATTTTGTCCGCTCGGGTAGCCAATCACAGTGGAGGATTCGGTTCATCTTGCCCTCTCACGGAGCTAGCCATATAACAAAGCATAAATATTACACATCCTTGCAGCTACAGCAGTTAAATTGTGCGCGCGCGCGATATACGACACCTAAGGCGACGCGCGCTTCTGCAACAAATTTTGCACGCGCAACATTGCGCATGTTTTTTACACGTCTCTTATTTAAGCTGTTTTTACGTCCAATTACTATACTTTGTAGCCTTAAGAGTACTATTTCAGTTGTATCAGGCGCGTTCATTTATTTAAGGCTTTTCATGCGTATTTGTTTCGCCTGTACGTTAATTTGTTTCTAGGTCTATCTAGTAAGTTCTGTTGTGTCGCGAAAGCACACGCGTAGGCATCGTGACACCCAACTAACGGTACAAAGGATTAGTTTTTTCGTCAGCAAGATCAGTTGACGCAAGATCTGTTAATTCACCGCAAATTAACAAGTTTCTCCAAGTTTATCACTGTTCTGGTGATCAAAGCAGTACCAAGGTAATTATCTTTTACGCTAGTTTAGTTTGTTTATGTAAGCGGTTTGTATCCTTACTCGCTTAAGTTCCGGTTCATAGCTTATGAATTGTAAATTAATTAAGGTCTTAGGCTTCGTCCACACGTATCCGGATATTTTTGAATCCGCAACTTTTTGTTTCCGGATTCAAAAATTTCCCCGTCCACACGTAGCGTATTCAAATCGAATTCACCTGTCCACACGCATCCGATGGTATCCGGATTCAATCTAGAGAAACTAGGCTTACACGTTGTGCCGCCATATTGGTTTATTGTTCGGTAAGAGACTGCATGGACACGATTTCGCTATGTCATCGAATTCGAAAATTTAACAAATCGAATGTAGTTTAGCGTGGTCTGTACTCTTATCGACAACAATACGCGTCATCACAGTGGTCAAAATATTGTGGACTCACGAGGGGCAGCCGAGTGAGTCCACAGTGAAACTGGGTGCATAATAAAATGATCAACTAGGAAAGAAAACTAAAAAAACCCTTGTAACTTGTCTCGCGTCGGGGTATCATTCGGTCTTAGATGATGGTTGTTTTTTGAAAATTGTGAAGCAAAGATTCTAGTCAAGCACAAGATAAGTTGACTTGTTCGTATCGAAATATGTTATATCTAATGTTTTTGGAGCAGAATGTGTGCCACTTGCCAGTTCGTGGGTGGCGACCATTCTCCACAAAATGACGCACAAACCTGCGTCAGACGATACGATACAATGTGTAATGTTTTCACGTAAAGACCATATGAAGAAAAAATCAAAAATATCAGAACAGCATGTTTAATTCACCAAGTGTGGTGTTCTCGCAGGGTTTTCTAAGTGCAACCTTTTGATTGGTTGCTTGTGCAATGACGTCATGTGAGTCCAGTTCCGTCTCTCATTTCGTTCATTATTCCATTTGTTTCAACATCAGCAAGGTGCTGCGGCAATTCCTTGTAAATTATCAACAGATAATGGAAGCTGCACTGATCTCTGTACGTGATAGTGCATGTGTTGTCGACTATCAGATGTTTACTGAAAAATGAGCGATTGCTGTGTTTTGTGATTCAACTAGCCTGTGTGAAACAGTGATAAAAGCGTATGGAATAACAAGCTCTCAGCGAAAGGAAGAAGAAGGCAGCTGTTTCAGAATAAACAGTAGATAAAAGTGGACTGGGATGAAAGTGTTGGCGGCGGCTAATAAGATAGCTGTCGGCTTTTAGCCACCATCAAATTAAAACGCCATCATGTCTTTGTGTTTTGACGAAGACTTATGCAGATTTCTTGTTAATCAAAGTGAAGTTGAGAGTAATTTTCTTTTCCGCTTTAAGACTGTGAAAAGGTTCTGAAAAGCCTGACTGACTCTCTGAAGTAAATTTTCGCAGGTATAGTTCAGAGACCCGTCCTGACTGTTGAAAGTTTGGGAAAAAAAAATTAGTTTTAGAAATATTTATTTTTGATCGATTGAGGAACCAAACAGAGGGATCCTTTATCAAATGGACCAACACTGTTCTTTTATCGCACCTGCTTTGCGGCAAATGCAGTTGTCTCTTATTTTTAAAGTGTGGTGGCTCTTTTCTTGTACTTTACTGCGAAAAAAAAAAGAACAACAAAAAAACCATCGATCGAATACTATATCCCCTTTTATTTCAAAAGACTAAAAATACCGAAATATTTTTAACATTATTCGTACTTGGACACGTACCAACTTATTACGTACGTTTAGATACTAAATTCATGCTGAGTTGTAAAAGTGACGCGTTTTAAAAAGCAAAGGTCATCTAGACGCCGCAGATGTAACAGTATTCTTTTAGCCACAGTCGCTTGAACGAACAACACGAATAACGCCAGACGTTTTCAAGTGATGATCTTACTGCATCAAATGTCCTCTTTCTCTGGCTGGTGGACATCATAAACGCGTAAGTGTACACGAATTGGAGTTGTAATTTTCTTCTTTTTCAAATTTTTCTCTCTCTCTCGTTTTCGTGCCGTACTACCTGTGATTGTCATTGAATAATCCGTCATTATTTTCAATGCACTCCAGTAATCATATCATCCAAGAATAACACTAAAAAAGGAAAACATTGCTATATGTTACGATACGTGCAATGGATGCTTGCAAAGTTTATTTGATGCATTTTTTTTATTTCTACGGAAAAGTTTATCTCAGAAAAAAACCCTACTTTTTCAATATTGATCCGGATGTAACATCAATTGCTGCTCGTTAATTGTGCGTCATGTTAAGGTCCATTTTTCTTTGACAATCTGGTAAAGCTGGTTTTCAAGTGTTTGTCCTTTTCTGTTTTTTGATCAAACTGAAACTTGTCACTATTGGATGGTTGCTGTTGTGGCGGATGAAAATTCGCCATCCTCTTCGTTTTCATTCACTACATGCGATATTTTAGATATTTAAAGAAAAGCAATTCACCATTTTTAGAAATCAAATTTACTTACATGTGATTTGTTTCAATATATGCTAGGTTTGTAGAAACTTGCAAATCAAAAGATAAGCTAGTACACATAGTAAATCGTGTGGCAAATAGTTGATTATAATTCTTGCATGAATGAATAATATTAATTGCTGAAACCCAAAAATTGATCTTTGACTTCAGATTCAAAATAAACAGACGTTGGTCATTTCTTTCTCCTTGACTTCTTGTTCACAAGCGCCCGCGATGGGTGGTCCTCTATTAAGCAGGTTTTGTTTGTATTGTTATGTAAACGTGCTTTTCATAGAAAAGTCTTACGGAGGACTTCACATATAACCCATGACGGGAGCGTTTACTGACTGCGGGTTTCCAATTTATGGAGTGTGAGGAAGACCTTAAACATGAGTCACATTCTGCGCGACATTTCGGGTGAGTGTTGCAGCTGCCAAAATAGGAAACTACAAGTAGATCGAAACTCGACTCGAAATAGCTTTGAAAGCCGTGATCGAATTTCCGACTGGGCAGAATATATGTGTGACGATTTTCCTTTCAGCTGACTTGAACAGTACGAAAAAATCTTTTGTATTCATTGTCAGAAAGCTGCTGTTACTATAGTTTTTTTCCCCTAGTAATGTCCAAATCGGAAAATCTCGCCATCTGGTGAATAATAATTAAAACTAACCGTGGATAGCTCGACCTTCAATATCCTATATCACTGAAGGTTTCCTCGCAACACGGAACGGATTACTTATCAATCTTAATTTAACGCCAGTTCCCGGCTCTTTCAGTCTTTCCTCTGACATTTTGCTGCAGGGATTTATTAGTAGAAGATTGATCTTATATAATAAGAAATGAAAATACGGTACATGTATAAGATTTCTGGAAAAAAAACTTGGGCAAACATCATTTTTCTTCGGCCCTCGGAAATTGCGTTCATTAAATTTATATGCAAATCTGAATCAAGCATATTATTTATCCGTTCCAAACAATCTCCGTTCATCAGGCTAAGTTTTGCCATCAGTTTGACTCAAACGATTTCCAAGGCAACTAATCCTAAATGTCTCGGCCTGTCACGCAGTTACAACAGCCCACATACGAGGCCCAATTTTCCGCCATACAGCTAAGATGATCAGACAGATATATATTACAACAGTAAAAAAAAAAAAAAAAATATATGTATATTGCTCAAAATTAAATTTTTTTTCCCAGATTCTACGCCAAGACTTAACGTGAAGTGTTTGTGAGGAATTTAATGTAGAAACATATCACAAACCACCATTGGGGTTTTCAATTTAAAGTTATGATTACGATCGTGGTAAATTGATTTGTCCTCACCAAACGCCATTATTTTCCTTTTTAATGCAAATGAAGAATTATTTAGATCAAACAACGATCAATCAAGTCCTGTTCGATCCATTTTTGTCTGGAAATATCAGTTTTACCCTCGGCTGGGCCACATTTCCCTCTAGGGGCAATTTTCGAAGAGGTATTCGTTTAGTGTTCTTGCCATTGGTTGCTACAAGGAATATTGGGTTTGGGAACTTTGAACCACTGAATGACGCATTTACAGAATAGGTAAGTTTTGTTGCCATTTGTGGCACTGTACTCGGAAACCAATAATAATGAACGCCGAAAAATAAGACTTTAAAAAGTACTTTGTTCGCGTGCTCCGCGTGGATAAAAAACACTTTCGATCTTAGATTGGAGAAGGGTAATTCATAGGAAGTGACTTTGGCTGGTTTTATTGTCCACAAAGTAAGTGTTTGAATCTGTTGTATTGGTTATATTTACATTTATGTTGCTTTTCTCAGTTTTCGAAGATCAGCTTAGCATCTGTTACGCGATACGATCACCTCTCATATCTTCATTGATTCGATGTACGAACAAGTGTGTCTGTGATCTACCGGCCAAAGTTGACTTTAAATTAAGCTCAGCGAACAAAGTTGATATATTATTTATCCTCAGTATAACCGGAAGGTGTCCATTAATTTTCTTCAGAATGGGCCGAAACAAAATGCGTTTCGTAAAGAAAAACCAGGTATGGCCGGATTTATTAATTTTTCTTTCGGTGCCCTGTGGAAAGGCGATAACTTTACTGCAACATCTCGATCGAAAAAGCCAAAGCCATATAAGTTTTTTGTACTTCTAATCGTGTTACGGTCATATCAGAATACCAGTATTAAACACGTTAACTCGTCAACGCCAATATTCTATATTTCAATTCCAGTGCACTGGAACAATATAAACGGCAATTACGCAAAAATTGGCAACGCGTTAAGCTGCTAGTGGACATATCTTGTGATAATTATAGTCTATTCTACATATTTTACCTAATGATTGGACAGTAGTTTAACCTAAAAATAATCACAATGATTACGATAGTGCATTGGATTGATGGTTTCAGTCGGATTTCATTTCGAAACAAGTTCATAAAAGTTGGGAAAAAGCTCGTATATCCTCCTTCATGCGTACAGCGTGTGGTTTCTTTCTCTTCCAGTCTGAATAAGCACACACGTAGCCAATATTTGAGTCGATCTAATGACCGTATTATAGTAAGAGCTTGTCATATTAATCCTGTTTACCCCCTGTTTTGTATTTGTAGTCTATTTTTATCAGCCTTGGAGTAGATGAGACTCATAAAGAATATTGAAAGCGCAGCTGAGTTTTTATCGCAGTACGGGACAACCTATCAAGACGAAAGTAACATCGAGAAACGAATTGATGTATAGCATAGTGAACAAGAAGTCTCCAATTTTACCACAAAGTCTTTTAAGTTATTAGGAACAAAGGGAATAAACTGAAAATAATCGAAATGATAGGAGACATGGATTCTGTTTTTATAAAAATAGGTGTCGTTTTATTTTGAACAGAAGCTTAAAACAAAATTTAAGAACGTTTGAAGTGGGACAGAGTAGAAGCTGTGCTATCGAAGTGTTTTAAGGTTTGAGGCTTTAGTCAGCCAATTCAATTTTTTCCCACTGTTTCAGGCATAATTTTGTTTTACAATTTAAACGGAATCCATTTCAAACAACAAGCACAAAACATTGCAAAGACCAGTAGAACTGTTCGCAAATGCTGTAGCCTTTTGGAGAAGGACAACCTCCATTTTGTTGATTTAAATCTTGTCATTTCTAATAATCTGTAACATATTTATGGAATTGAGGTATTAAAAAAC